AAGATTGTGGGAGTGTCAGAGGTCAGAGGATGAGTACATTTTGTCGAGAGTAAGATTTTGCGACACCGACGCTCGTGTATTTGCAAATATCCCAGGTATTGAAGTGCGTATAAAAGGAAACTAGAATTCTGTCTCTCGCTAAGTCAATGAATAAATTACTGAAAAAGATGAGAGGTTGACGCTCGAATGAACTTCTCTCTGTTAATATGTTTGTGAACAGCGTCAAATCCATGTTTATTTTTAGTAATTGGTTCAAGCTTTCAGATCTCGTAAGTAAAAAAGTTAATTAGGTAAACAATTTATGTTTATTACAAGATTTCTCATCATTATGTCGTATGCGTACTTCAAAAAACCTTACAAGGGAGTATTTACATATCTGGATCCCTCTTGAATAGTTTATAGTTAAAAGAGAGTTTAAGAAGTTGATTATTTTTGTATCGATTAGCGACTTTTCTTGAAATTTCCAAAGGTATCGGAAGAGTCAGTTTGGCGAGAACTAACGCCAAACTATTGTTTTTCTCATCGAAAGTATTTTGAAGTCATCGATATCATAGGTTAAGAACTGTCCCTGTAAAACTACTCCGTTTACCTTAAATAGAATGCTTCAATTTTCTAACAACTCCACCTGTCAAAACGAGAATGCAAAGGTGTAAAGGAAATAAGATGGCATGCATACGGCTTTGACAACTCACAGCGTGCGAGAAAAAAAAAGGTACAAAAAAACTGCCAAAGTATTCTTACTGTTTTATTTTCATATTTTTCTAATAATTTTCAACAGCTAAAAATCTAAGTATTATTATTACATAAGTACTTAGTATAGCAGAGCATTATGGAACCGCTGAAATATGTCTTTCAAATATTTTAGGAAACATACATATACATAATGAAATATGATCAAGAGCTTTGATTAATCTTTTTTTTTTATATATATTTCGGGTGTTCTTGCCTTAAAACTGATATTGAACACAAGTATTCCCGGACTTCCCAGTGTCTTATATATTTTTTTTAAATAGTAGAGAAGCTGATCAGTGATTTTTATCTCAACGGCAGATTTATATTTCATTAAAAGAAGTGGAGGAAATTTGATTTAACATAAACAACAGATGAAAACCTTCCTCTCTGATCTCCGCTTATTTTCATCTTTTATTTTTGGCTTATGTATTGACACCATAAAGAAAAGAAACAAGTAGATCCTGACGAATTAACCAAAGACTGCGAAGTGCCATATCAACCGGCCGGGTTTAAATTGTTCGGTGTCTTGTGAAATATAATCTACTTTATTCCTTGTCTGAATTCTGGCATCATCATAGCGTAGATTATGATAGTACAAATCAAAGAGTTGGTTTGGTAAAACACTGCTACTGTGTTAATAGTATAAAAATTGTACCGAAAGGAAACGTTTAAGAATGACTGAGGATAAAAACTCAAATTACTCAGTAGTATTACTGATGGAAGTAAGACAAGGAAAGATCCACTAAGTCACGACAAATGAAGTACTTGTCAATTCTCTTCCCTTTCCTTGGCAACTGAAAAAAAAAAAAAAAAAACCCAGCCACCATGCCTCTTCCTCTGATCCTTATGATTAAAGTGGGGTGAATGGGGTCAATAGGGATTTGGGTGGAATCCTTATAATATTGCGTAACTAATAGTGACTTAAAGCAACTTAAGGCAACTTAAGGCGACTTTAGGCGACTTTAGGCGACTTTAGGCGACTTAAGGCAGCTTAAGATCCCAGAGTGGGACTCATCCAAGTTAACTTAATGAAGATAATTTTATATTTCGATTTCAAAGATAATACAAAAAAATACGGCTGATGGCTATTGATGAAAAAGTACGTTTGTAAGAAAAGCATGTATACATTATTCACAAGTTCCTCTTGTAAGTTGGATTAAATGAAGTCAAAATTTTAAATGGTTCGCTTTGAGCATGATAATGAACGAATTTTCTTTATTCCCAAAGGTATCGGAGGAGTGGCTTAGCCGAGAAGTAACGCTAAACTATTATTTTTCTTTTCAAAAGTATCTGAAAATTATCGATCGCATAAGTCAAGCGTTTTCACTGAAAATTTTTCTATTGAACGTTAATAGGATACTTTGCTAAATAATGCTACCTCTCAAAACGCCAATGCGCGGGCATTGCTAAGTGATGAAAGGTGTGCGTGTCGGCTTCGAAGACAAAAAAGAAAAAAAAAAAAAAAAAAAAGAAGATAAAAAAGCGCGAAACAACTGCCAGCAAAAAAAGAAGGAAAATAAGGAGCGTCTCTCATCCACCCGTTTAAGTTAATCCACCGCCTTCACAGGAATCCCAATGAGATCCCCAGAGAAATGGTTACGAAGACAGAATTACAGCTGTAACTTAAAAAACAGAACTTAATGAGAAATTAGTTTGTATTCTTATTATTTCGTTCCTTTTTTTAAACGACCAAACTGGAAACTTCCAATGCATTTAATAAATTGTCATAACATAGACATGGTTCTACTTTAAGACCGTTTCAAGTTTGAAAGACTCCACGCGAGTTGCATATTAAACGAGCAAAATGTCCAGTACTTGCAATCGAATAGGGTACCTTTTGTTTACTACCGTTTCATTTTCTAGTATTTCTGCATTTACTTTTCGGAATACAACCTTCGGAATTATCTTAGAATTGTATCGATCTTGTAAAGTGCGCGCGAAAGGCGAACATAGCTCCGTTAGAACCATTTTTTAAATTTTTTAAAAACTGATTCCGCAATGGCTCTGAGAAAGTTGCCTTTAAAGTTATCAGGTGGGGCAAATGAGAAAACTGCTGCTTTGAAGTAGAAAGATTAAAACAAAACAAAAATACTTTTTTAAAGTCGAGCACTCTAAATATTTTATTTTTATTTTCGACACTTCTAAATTAAGTGTGGTTATTACATAACTGCTTTATTTTCACATATCAAACTGTTTCCCCACTGCGATGGACATTTGTTTTTGTCGGTTGCAACCTGGCGCGGCCGCTAACCCAGATGCCCTCCTGAGCAAATTTTCAAAATGGCGGACAAGCCAAAGAGAGAGATAAGAGAACCAAAGCGATTCTGCAACGAATACTCTGCATACACCCCTGTTAAAAAGGTCATTTCACAGAGAAAAGATACAAAATTGTATGATATTGAAGTCACGGAGGTTGACAAACCCAACAAGACTGAAAATTCACTACATTGGCTACAGTACACGCTTCGATGAGTGGAGACCCTTCGTGCACCGGTTCACAAGAGCCAATACAAAAGACCAAACAATGCACAATAGCTAACCGATAACTCCTAAACAAAGAAAGAACAATGGTAATTCCCTTGTGAACCGGTACACCAGGACAGAACCCCCTTCGGGGACGGTGAAGCATCTGAATATTTTCCTTCGAAATTATATAGATTAGTAGGCTGCAACAAAAATTTATTGGACGACGTTTAGGGCAAAAACAGCAATCTAACCTGAAAAAAGTGTATTTATTCCGACTCTTTCGGAAAATAACTTTACAAATCTTACTTGTTTATCTCGTAAGTAAACGATGGTGAAGCGCTTTGCGAGTTACCCGATTCTTCTCCCACTGCTTTGACGCTTATAAAACAGGAAACGAGCAAAAGGAGGAAGGTGTGGCTGTTTTGACTAGCCATTTGACGAGGTTCAATTTGCTCCTTGTTCGACAATTTACATATCAAAACAAAGTAAATTTGTTCCAGTCTTTGATTTTGGCGGTACATTTTCAATTTGCGCTTGCGTAAGAGAGAAATCGCCCAAGACTCCTTGCTCGGTCTTGTTTTGACCACGAACGCCTTCTTAATTTTGACGGACCCGCTCGGGAAAAGGTGAAAATGACGAGGGAAAAACTTTACTTTGTAGTACAAAAATACACAAAATGGAAAGCCATGATATTATAGTTCAATATTTCGGTGGTACATTGTTAACTTTTTATACAGAGAGTCGGCAAGATGATATAACATCCAAAAATCGCACTCGATTTGAGTGGGCCGATGAAGTGGGCGTGGTCACGAAATTCAGTAAGAGACTATTTGTACCCCGTGAATTTGATATGACTTCTAAATTAAGTGTGGTTATTACATAAGTACTTTCGTGTTGCAGAACATTTTGATCGATAAAATATACCTTCCAACTATATATTTTAACAAACTCAACGAAATATCATGAGGAACTTTGCTTTAAATTATAATAATATGCATGTTCTTTGTCCAAGAAGCGAAGAGGTGATTTCTCCTCTTAAATGCAGACAATCTGATCAGTAGTTATCCATTTAAGACTAATTTATATTCTATTGAAAAAAGTTGAGGAAATTCCGGCGCTGTTTTGTAAAGTAAAGGAAGAAAAATTAATGGTCGAGAACTTTGTCCATTTATCATCATCTGCTTTTTGGACAGTGTATTGATACCATGAGGGAAAGAAACAAATTGATCAAGACAAATTAAATGAACTATTGATTACGTAGTGGCAAATCTACCTGGTTTAAACGGCCTGAAGCCTTGTGGAATATGATTTGCTTTATTCCTTGTCTAAATTCTAGCATCCGCATGGCGTAGATTATAGGATTTATCATTGAGTTGGCCATGTACGAAACTACTCCTACCGTATGAATTGAAAACGACGAGAAAAGGAAAGGTTAATGTAGAACTGAGGATGAAAAATAAAAAAACCGTGTCGTATTACCATTGGAAGCCAAGCGAGGAAAGATCCAAGAGTTACAATTAATAATGTGCTTGTCATTTTTCTTTCTCTTACACCTGCTGCACTTTGATGTTGTGGACGACGACTAAAATGGATCTTGACGAAAATAGAAACGTAAGAAAAAGAAATGACAAAAAGGAGAACAACAAAAGCCGAGAAACCAGAAATGTAGCGAACTTTTACATTACTCTCTAATATAAACTCACCAGTCAACACTAAAGCTGTAGATGTTAACCAAGTTACGATCATTATAACTCCGTAAACCCAGTTCTCAATAAAACGATGCTTAAAAATGTTGCATGTACCTGCTCTAATGAAATGGCCACGATGTTAAGAAGGGAAGAAAAAACGAAGTTGTTGCTTATGAAGTTCAGTATTACAAAGTTCGCACCGTACTTCCACAGTTTACAGACACTCCCTATCCAGTAGTTGTCCAATGGTCCTGAGACTGCCCCAACTAAGAGATCGACTATAGCCAAATGGATGATCAAGATTGCACTTCTTCGCTGTAGCTGACGCTTCTTCAAAAATATAATGATGGTGACGATATTAAGGATGACTATCGCTAGACTTTCAGTGCTGAACACAACAACCCACGGGATGCAGTTGGATTCAGGAAGCGGCAGCCTGGTCTCAACGTTTGTGTCATTATTGGTGCATTTGATGATTTTGTTAGCCATTGAGTTCTCTGAGGGTTTGTGAGTGGCCAATTTAAACGACCTAAATCAAAAGTAAATGAATAATCATAGAATACGACTGACATACACAGGTGTGTAAGGCTTAAAACAAATCTATTTGGTTTTACCATGTTAACATAGAGTTTACGTATGATGCACGATCCTCGTAGTAGATAGCGCTATTTATGCAATAGCGAAAATCAGAGTTTACCTTGAATTAATAAAGACCGTTCCAGACAATTTTGGAGGCTCAGCCATGCTGAGATATGGGAAGAGAAATTCAGTCCTTCTATATCGGCTCAATTATTTGAAAAACATATACAGAACTTTCTATTTACATATTCAGGTAATTTGGTCTGAAACAAATATCTTTAATTGTTTTTTTTGAATATTTTGACCACATACGTCACAATGTTTTGTTTACATACCTTGTAAAACTTCTGGAGATTCAGGAAACTCAGAGATTAAGCCAGACTGAGTTCTGGGCAGAGAAATGCAATCCTCTAATATCGGTTCAATCAGCAAACAGATATTGAACGGTCTTTGATCACGCCAAGTTGTTCTGTCATAGTTAGTAAGTTTTCACTAAAGCTGTTTCATCTAATTCCTCAGAGTTTCAACGATCTTTAACTCAACGAGGATCATATAAGTATAACACACTTTTTACTAAAAACCTCTTTTTAAAGGCTGAATTGAATGAATTATCCAGCGCAGCTAAACAGGAACAACAAACAGTCGAGTCATGGATATGGAATCATGTCCTAAACCTGGACATGACTGAGTCGTTTTTTATAAGTAAATATTGAAATTTAAATAATGGAACACGTAGATATTTTGAACAGATGCTCTTTAAGCGGTCCTTTACCTTCTAATCGAAAGAACTTTAGTTTCCTAGACAAATTCTGCATGCGATTTTGTTAGAACATATGGCAATCTGTGGTCTTTCCTTACACTTAGGTAGCACGGAAAGCCGTAAAAATCTTGAACAAAAGCTCATCTTTCAAACCGGCAGTCTAAATCCCACAGGGATCAACGAACGCTTTTCATTCCACTAATTTATTCTTGTTTTTCTCGTTGCCATGTTCCCACCAATAACGTAGCTCCATTTTCTGCCTTTAAAAGCACACACAACCCACAATTCCTCTATTCGCTCCGACGAAGGGCTAACGCTCGAAACGTCAGCTTTTGTAATCGTTACGGTGGCCAATTTACCATTTCAACTTTGTTGATATATCCAAATTATTTCGTTACTCCCACCGACGCAGCCCCAAACAGTTTCTTTCGAAACTATCAGCCTTTATTCATTTGTTTT